GCAATTGTATCTGTTGTCTACTGCTGCTAAGGCAGAGGTCTAGCAGTGCTATCCGCTGCGCGGTGCTCTATTTGTAACTAGCCAGCTGCTCAGGCTAAGCCGTTGGAAGTCCCCCAGTGAGTTGTGAGACGTTGGCTGCGCTGTTTAAAAAAATCTGATAAAATGGTCTATAGTACAAAAGCTAAAAGTAAAAAGATGAAAGTAACTAGGCAATGAAAGTAAAGATAACAATTCATTTGTATTTGATTCTTAATATTATTATATACATTAGATATTTTTTGAGACTGATATATTTGTTTATGGTCTACTTGTCTAGTTTTCAAGACATGTTTGGGATCCCCCACATACATACATCAACTAATAATTTTTTTTTAATTTTTTTATAGATTGATGTTTTACAGGCAGAGGTTACTGCCCTCAAGGCATTGGTGATAACTTCAACACCAAGTATGCCACTACCTCCAACTCAACATTCGCCAAAGAAGTCAATTAGCATTCTGAAACGATACAAAGCACAGAACGCCATCCTTAACCAACAGATGAGCATGTATAGTCACCACTGGCGGAATCCAGCATTGCTTAATGTGCCCCTAGAACGCTGCAAAAGCACACCCTCTCTCAACGAATCATCTGCACAGGAAACAAAAGAGGTACAGTATATCAATTATAATCTTCAATGCAAAACTGATACCAAAAGTAGTACTTTTGTGTGTATTCAGATATCATGTAACACACATCCTCAGTATTTTATGCCATATGATTATATGTGGCAAAGACAAGCCAAACCATTTACTCCTCGCAAAAAATTGATTTTTAGTTATTAACACATGGTTAAACAGTAAAGTGAAAGCTATAAAATGGTAAAAGATTCATTTAAATCCGACATTTCGTTATGAAGTTTTAGGAGTTTAAACATACAACCGTTTAACACGTTCGCTGGCATCGACAAGTATAATCTTCCCACAGGGTATTGCTGAGGGCGCTAGGTACGACTATACTCGTCAAAACCGGGGTAACATTCTAATCTTTATTACTTCATTCTTATACATAGTAGAACCACAGACTTAACGACTGATTTAAAAACCATTCGTTTGGGATAGATACACCTAGACGATTACGTGCAAATAATGTATGTATGTTTGTTGTGTTATGTTGCCGGCAATACACTCGAATGCAGGAGTAGGGGCACCCTCTGAACATATACCAACCTGTGCAAAAAGCGGACGAGAAAACTCACACTTAGCAGAGGCAATAACTGTCCCATTGCCGGCGACGACTTTACTCATCCCCTCATATTTTCCCTCCAATTTTTTGATGATATATGACTAGATAAAATTTCAGAATGTATGTTTGTACATGTATACTTGTTTTGGCACATAGGACAACCTACAAAAATGTCTGGCAGTCAACGTGTTAAAGAACAATAATTTTGAGAATTCAGACTTCAAAGTTTACAATTTCAGACATTTCTGAGGCAGAGACCATCGGCAAATCGTTAAACAATCTTGTTTAAACGGAAAAAAATAACATAGCAAGATGTATAAAGTTATAATATAAAGTTCAGTGTAATAAAATAGATTTCAAAAATTTTGACATTCAAACATGTTTTGGCCATTATATTCGAAAAAAGTGACTGGCTTGGCTTGTCTTCACCACGTATATAGTTCACTAATAAACAGTCTATTCAGGGGCGGATCCAGAAATGTCCAAAAGGGGGGCCGGAAGGGGGGGCTGAAAGTTGGGCCGATTGAGACAACACTGTCGTAGGGGGTCCGGGGCATGCCCCCGCGAAATTTTTGTGTTCTAGACGCCCGAACATAACATTTGAGGCATTCTGGGCTATCATTTTTTTTTGGCCATTAAATTCGAAAAAAGTGACTGGCTTGGCTTGTCTTCACCACGTATATAGTTCACTAATAAACAGTCTATTTAAGCAGCAAGCTTAACCATGGAGGAAATTAATATACAGTAAATATATTAATATGCTTCCTCCATGGGTTAACAGAAGGGGAATCGTAGGTGCACAGGTTCTTCTACTTGTTTTGACACGTTGGATGATGTTAGGTCACATAGTTAGATTAGATGAAAATACACCAGCATTTACTGCTATGTCATTTGCTTTAAGTAATTCTAAAACATATAAAGGGCGTGTTGGTAGACCGCAAAGTAACTTAATGAATCAATTGCAGGTAGATGTAAGAAAACGACATCTTTGTCTGAATAGTTATGAAGATCTTATGTATCTTAAAGAAATTGCTAATGATAAAGATTCATGGGCGAAATTGTTTCAAACATGTATGAATTGATATCGCAGCGTGTAGTAACTAGTCGCAAGACTTTACCAGAAAATGTATATTGTTATACTGTGTATGTTTTTTGAAATAAAGTTTGAATATATATGACATTCAAACATGTTTTGGCCATTAAATTCGAAAAAAGTGACTGGCTTGGCTTGTCTTCACCACGTATATAGTTCACTAATAAACAGTCTATTTAAGCAGCAAGCTTAACCATGGAGGAAATTAATATACAGTAAATATATTAATATGTTTCCTCCATGGGTTAACAGAAGGGGAATCGTAGGTGCACAGGTTCTTCTACTTGTTTTGACTTTTTTAACTATAGCCCCCACAACACTTAATTTCCTATTGAAAACAATAACTATGCAAAGGACTTTTTTTTAAAGGCTGATCCAATAATGCTGCACGAGTTTGAAGCATGGAGGCAGTCCCTTACATTCTCCATGGATAGTCCGTTCATGAAACGTGTACATCAAGAGGATATACTGCCGTGCTTGACGTTTCCGAACAACGCCCTCACTCAGATGGTCCAAACATGCGTCCTGAAGAATTCTTTATGTATCGAGCCTATTAATGGTTCACCAAGTACAAAGAAGTAAGAAAATAGTAAATCATTAAAAAAAGTGTGGAGAAATTATGGAATTTGAAAATTCTAATAAGTATATGGGAAAATTCAAAAGATCAAGTACTGTAACAGCTTCAAACTAGTTTTTAATTTTGTTAATTAAGTTTATTTTAAATCAGTTTTACTTTTTTATGTTTCATTTGCTTTACTGTATATTTTGATGATGGAGCAAGGACAGTTTACTGTTTGGGCTCGTGCCTATTCCTTGCTCCTGGCAAGATTGTACTCTTACTTTGCCAAATAAATATTATTATAATTAACTAATAACATTTCGGGAAATAAATGCATTTTCCAGTCATGGAGGAATTATTGAATGTACTAGAGCCAGTGCAAATGAGTTATGTATAAAATTATCTGGTTATTTTCATAACAAAGTGGAGAAGTCATTGAAAATTTAGGGGAATTCCAAGAACGTCATAGATTTTTGTATTTTTTGTTTGTCTTTCTTAAAACCACCAGTCTATTTCTTTTAAATATTGAGTGTGTTTAAGATTAACATTTAAATAATAGATTAAAAAAACAAATATGTTTTTATTTTTTTAATACTGGAGGTAAACAATTGACATGTCTTTCATTATCAATTTCAGAAAATGTGCTCTGTTCTCTGAGAGTCGTATTTGCAAATACCGGTTGAAATTGGAGGATTCCGATAAATGGTGCGATGTATGTTGTTCAGCTAGGAATAGGGTAAGTGATGGTGTTGTACTAGATAGTGAAGTAATTTAACCCACCAAAAAATTCATGTCAGACTTTGAGTTGCTTATGCAAATAAGTTATTTCAGCTAAGATACAGATCAAAGTATATCAGTTTATCTTTAATTATACACTACAAAAATCTTTAAACTGTTTATTAGCCAATTTAAATGGTTAGAAATGTAGAAATTATATTTTCTATGATAGAAATCATTTAAGTAGAGATATAAATTATATTTATGATTTTTTTTTTCCAGATCACAGCTGTATGTAATTTTTTCACCTACTTACGATACATCCAACAAGGTCTCGTTAAGAGTGACAGTAAGTTTAATTTAATAAGTATGTGAATGAAATGCATACTCATGATGAACAAACCTTTTTAACCCAACTGATTTACATAGTGGGCTAGCAAGTTTAAATCCATCATACCATTCCTGAAGTAAACAGCAACAATAGGCACTTCAGGGAGATTTGGTCTGATGAACTTCCTTATATGAATATTATACAATTATATTTGGCTGTGCACAGCTGACATTCTTAAGACAATAATACGGTAGTAAAAATACGCAAACTTTCAGAATTTGTTGGAGACGGGAAATTTGTGCTTGGTCATGTGAGTGCAGTGGTGGTGCCAGTGTCCATACTATGCCATAAAAACTCTCCCTGTGAATCCACCAGGGATTTTTTATTCCAGGACTTGGACCGAGGCTGTAGTCGGCCCCTTGGATTGAACCCATTGTTGCCATATTTCTGGAGCCACCGTTGTGAGAGTGCAGAACGTATATCTATTTCCCGGATACAATATTGGTGGCTCTGTGAATATCATGAAAAGAACAACTCTCACAATAAACTTTTCATCAATTAACATCCCTTGTGTTGTCAATGTCTGTGTCAAGGGTGGGTCATTTTTTGCAGATGTGACTTGGGGGTTAAAATACTCTCCTTCTCAATCCTAAAGTCCTGGGTTCAGTCCTAGCAAATTTATCCACTCCCCACATGGGCGTAGGCTGTGGGAAGTGTGCTCCCCCTTTAAGGCAAATTAGTTCCACTAAGTGGGTTTTTAAAACACTAAAAATAATTTAGATATAGTTATGCATTCTCAATTTTTGCACCCCCAGGCCGTTTTGCAACCCCCAAGACAAAAATCAGCCTATCACCTGCCACAAATACTTCATTTTGTATGGTTTTTTTGTGGTATAATTACACTGTATAAGCCTTAACAAAATAGCACCCTCTACAGATTAATCTAGTAACAAATTTATTCATGATTCAATTTAAGAATGTTCTTTATACAGCATTACACATTAGCAGAACATTATAGGTGGATTGATTCGTTGTTTATGGTGTAAAATAGCCACTGATAGACAAAATATCAGGCACATCTTTGTTAGATTGTGGTAACATTGCTTTATTGTTTAAGTTATATTGGCTTATGGTTTTTATTGTTAAAGATGTGTATATTTTGTGAGAAATGTTTACAACTAAATATATGTATTTTTCTTTCTCTTCAGCCATTGGTATGTATTGGGAAGTTGTACGTCTTCGAAAGGAAATTGCTCTGGCAAAGCTAAGTTTATAAAAAGTACTTTAAACCATGGAGTGCACTGGAAGGCGGAAAACAGACAGGAAGACGACTAGTTTCTACTTTCCTTTTTGAAAATGGAGCCAAGAATGACTCTTCATTTGTGACGTCTTTTGTCTTCATCCACTCCAACATAAACAATTAAAATGTTGTAGTGCCAATTGTTTTTATGGTCACTGCACAATGTGAATCTTAAGAATTTTAAATTTTGTTACAGGGATTATTTTAATGTTGATACCAAAGAAATATTTTAATCATCTCAAGGATAAACAGTAAGATTCTAGGCCTTCTTGGGGTCTGTCAGTAGAGCTGCTGAGAACAGGCAACAAAGAGGGGAGAGTTCATGTGTGTCCTTTTTTGGGGGGGAGAGAGTTGGTTGGTTGGATTTATTAGTGGTTATTTGTAGATGACAATAAATTTAAGTAGGTATCTGTATATATCTGTATACTGTATATATATAAGGAAGTTAATGCGTATGTAATCCTACATTACATAAGCCATTGGCCCATGTACTTAATAAGAGACTGAATGAATGAAGCCTGTTAAATCTAACAGAAAGGTCCGTAAAAAATTTGAAACCAAGTTAACTGGTGTATTTTTGCATTAGCTTAGTATTGAAATGCAATACTTAATTATTATCCCATTATAAATAATTTTAAAATACTGTACAAAATAACCTTTCATTTTCAATTACTTCTGTGTGTTATGACATCAAAACACACATTCCTGTCCCTAGGAATTGCATTTTTTTCATTTTAACCTTTAATGATTTAGAGGCTGTGAACTTTGAGTTCAACCCCATCCACTTAAAAATCTTGATTTACATTCAGTTATTTTAACCCTGAACTTAGCAGCTCAGATAAATCAATGTCTATATTTTAGTGATACTTTTTGGATTTCAGAATAGAGAGTAGCAAAAGTGTAAAGTGTAGCACATAACATTGATATGCATTGAAATGTTACAAAAATTAATGCCAAAAGGAGGGGGGGGAGACATGTCCCCAGTTCCCCCTACTGGATCCACCCCTGGGCTGGGGCTCACTTCAAGGCCTACCTGGTTGTGTGTTACCTAGAGTATGTAAGTGTAAAGTTCACCTAATGTCAGATTAGGTCATGTTTGCTAAAGCTGGGATTCATTTTGAATTTTATTGAAGATCAAAATTGTAGAAACGTAATTTCTTTAGGGGTCGTTCCCTAAAACAGTATGCTAGAGGGGAGGAAGGTAGAGAAATTTGTATACATTACATGTGCATAAAATTTGTTGATTAAAAATAACATGCAATATGTAAAATAATGGTAAAATTATAATGTAACCATGAATATAATATTAATTTTTAAGCAACAAAGTACATAGTTGACTTCACAAAAAAATGGAGAATGGCTTTGCAAAATCAACATTGTTTTGTACACTTTCAGAGAGACTGAGTGGGTACCGAAAAGGAGTACTGTTTGTACACTGTGAAAATATTGATAATTGTTAACGACCCCTTATATAATTGACAAGTGTAGGCAAAGTTTCAGTTGGATGTGAAGGTAAAAAATGTCAGTCTTCGCCCAGTTATTGGATCAAATGTTGGCTGTTGAAGACATTCTCCCTGGGGAAGTTTTAAAAAATGTTGTTGGCCTAGCTAGTGAATAACACAGCATATTCAATCCTGCAATATATAAACTTATTCTGAATGATGAGATGTATTCCACAAATTATTTTAACATAGGCTAGATCGAAGTCTTCTATTCATTTATGATTGTCATAACATCAATTTTCAAATCAAATTTAACCATCATGGTGCACTGGAGGCTGGGTAATAACTTAGCCATATGAAAGGGAATTTTTTTTATAGTATCTGTGTAATAATGATATTAAAAATAGAAATTTAAAGAAATTTAAATAATTCCAGTATTTTATTGTTTGTGAAGATATAGTTTCACTAAAAGCATACAAATAAAATATATAATTTATGTCTATGTAAAGTATATATAAGCTACATTATGGTGCACTAAATAGATATAAAATTATTGTTAATGTTTTTACTATAGATTAGGTCTACCAAGATCTGTTAAAATATGTAAAAGATATGGTCTACCAAGATGATATAATATGTTGAAATATTTAAAAAATATGTTTTATATATGTTTTCTGAGAGTTGTGTATTGTTTGCATGTATAAACATTGAAAGATAGTTTTGTTTTAAATGTTTCATCATATTGTATTTTCTATTTCTGTAATTTGAACAATTATAAATACTTTTAAATTGACAATATAACTGAAATTGATACACCATTTTCTTCAGTGTTATATGTGGTGTTATATATTAACTACAATACCTATAATAGGTGTTATTTTTTAACTAGTTACTTTCTTGTTACTATAGTATGCAAGTTCTGTTTAGAGATTAATTTAAAAGGTTTGATAAATTATTTTGTCAGACATTTTAACCTAGTTTTAGAATACTTTCTTTGGCATATATAATACAGTTTGATCCATTCTAAAGTCAAAATTTGATGTAAGTAATACCATGCACAACACTCATTTTTTCCTTTCCATATAATAATTTGTTTTGCTATATAATTTTTTTTTCCATTGGACCTATTTTTATATAACTTTATTACATCAGTGATGCTGCTAAAAATGTGACTTAAATGGGTTCTTATAATTTAAAGAGTTTTCTTAAGAGGCTGCCTAGATGTTTCATACTTGCTTTGTTTTCAATTTGCATAGAATTGCACAAATGTTTATTTTTAGGCATGCAAACAAGTTTCATATATTCACTTGCTTTCAAAATTTACAGACTGATAATGAAGTTTCAACTAACTATTGCAGTACAAAATATAAAATGAAAGAAGTTAGAGACACTATACAATAAGAAAAAGAAATCTTCGGAATTCACAGACAGAATTATGGAGAAAAGACAAATACTATTTTCTGACAGTGCTCAGATTTGTGAATATAAATTTTCCCTTTGCAATCAATGTTGAGTAATCATCCTACAACTACAATTGTAATTTACTGATGAAACATTATCATTAACATATACTCCCCTTTATAAAGGCTATCCCAAATATTGTATAATTCCATAAAAGTTCTAAATTTGTATGGAAAATATTAAAAAATTGTTGTCTATTGAGGTAAGAGAAGAACTAGTTTTCAATGTGTTATTACCAATTCTAAGCTGGTAAATATCACATGATACATAGTATTTTATGCCATCTGGAATATGAGTATAGAATCCACCATTTCTGTTTTTCTTGATTTTATCTGTCAAGTAATGTATTTTAAGATAATATGTCTGGTTGAGCTAAAATAACTTGAAAAGTATAATTCAATATTTGAATTGCTTACTTTGCAGTGGCAGATTGGGGGAGGGGGAGCTGGCCTCCCCCTCCCCCCTCCTCCTTTATTTTTTTCAAAATTGTGCCATTTCCGGCCATCTAGAGGTGCCATAATCATAAGTTTACTTATCTGAGCCCCGACCATGGTGGGGGTTAGGTAATGTAGACCCTCTATCTGTGAAAGTCCCTCCCTGGCCCCCTTTATTTCAAGTTCCTGGATCCGCCACTGCTTTGTATAGCTTTCAATAATATAGTATAAGTAACTATTGTTTTTTGAACTTACAGTATACAAAATTAATTGCTGGTAATTGTATGTTGGACATTTATGTGACTATTTAATACTAGAAGTTTTCAAAATATGGATATTGTATATTAAATTGTATAGTTGTTTCGAAGAGTGCCGAGAACACAATTTTATGAATAATGGTGCTTTTATATATACTACTATAGATAAATGATTTGACATATGAAATATGGTGTATCCCTTTCTGATTCAAAAGCCTATGTTCATAGGTTTTTTTATGTAATCTTTTTATGTATTGTGTAATAAAAGGATATTTAGAGTTCTCTTGTCTTTTTATACATTATTATCATTATTTTCATTAGTTTTTTATTATCAATATCATTAACATTGTTATTATAACTGTCACTGTTACCTGTGCAGCGGCTGTCATAGCTGTCGTCATTATTGTCATTGTGATTTAGTTAGTCCCATACCTTATCTTTCATTTTTAAACCCAAACTTACTGTATTAACATAACAATTTGATAATAAAATTACCTTACTTGTTCCCTGGAGGTAGTGCCCTCAACTTGCAGATTTGCTGTTACAGTAAGCCAGTAGTCTCGATCTCCTGCTCCTCTTGCACATTCAACATACAGTATTTATGTTTTGTCCATTCCTGAACATCCCTTATCCATGTTTTTCTAGGCCTGCCTTTAGTTCTAGCTCCTTCCACTTTTCCTTCTATGAGAAATTTCTGTAGTCTCTTAGCTCTGACAACATGACCTAAATACTGTATCTTTCTGTCCATTATATTTACTTTCAATGTTCTTTCTGCATTTGCAATATAATTATGTTGATCTTATATATTTGTTAAGATAAACTAAGTTTGAAATACAGAATCACATTGGTTTGCATCACATTCTTCAGGGCTCATTTCATACCAACTTACGTCAAACTTGTTGGTGGTTTCCCGCCTCTCGTAATTTTTGGTCTTACACTGTACCATTTTATTTCCATTACCTCAAATTACTGTTTACAGCATTGATTCACCAAAACTAATGCAGTGTTCATGATACTAGAAAGAGTTTGTGAAACCATATACTTTGCATACAAGTTATAATTAACACCCACAAAAATTGTTTGTTAATAATAAAGACTATAAATACATTGATTTTATACTAATGATCAAAAAAGTATATATAAAACAAAACATGCGTAAATATAAAACATAATGTAAATACATGTTCATGCCATATACTACTGTATATATATTTCAATAACATTTCATAATATCTTCATCATCATCTTAGGCCTTGGTTAGGAATGTTTTACAATAATGATGTAATGTATTAATAATGACAGAGTAATAGAACAACTTCTATGTTATTATATATATATATAAGTTTGGAAGGCAAATGGGAAAAACCCATAAAACAGCAAACGGCCATATAATGCAAAACAATTCAGTTCACACAGAAGGAGTTAAGAAACAAAGTTTAAACTTTCTACTTACAATGATGATAATAATGTGTATTTGTATAATGGTATAAGGTGTCCACAGGGTCATCCGGCTGGTCAAAGTAGGGAGTATTTTTACGGTAAATGGTCCTGCAACCATGTTCGGGAACCCATCATACCTTTATTATTGCTCAATTTACTTTAAAGAATGATAAGATACAGCCCTCCAAAAAAGTGAAATTCTATTTTCACACAATGCTTTCAGAGATTTTTGGTGGCGTATAACATTGTAATGAAATATGCCATATAAAATTTGAATGGTATTTCCAGAAAGATAGGGGCCAATATAATTAGTCTATGTAGCAATTTTCAACTTCTTATCTTCGTTATTCGATGAGATATAGCTTCGTAAAAACCGTACAAAGTTAAAGGAGACATTTTCGGCATGAAAAAGGGGTGTGATACCTAAGTTTCAAAATATCATTTACTTAAAAACCACTTGGAAATTGAAGCTGAAATTTTGGATTCTTTCTTTTGACATCAAGGAATTTTTAGAATTTTTTTCAGGAAAATCCCAGGGGGTTACATGGTCATGGTGGTTGATTTGAGCCAGAATGACCCTAAAGGCTATGTAAAGCCCACCTTAATTTCCAATTACCCCAATTTCCAGCACACTAAATTTGTTCACCATTATGATGCCTTAGGATTAGATTTTTAAACCAATTACATATGCCCAAGAGCCAGATAATATAAATTTATAATAGTACTGTTAATTTTCATATAATACAGTACACTACTTATAAATTCTTGACAATGTTCATATAAAGGAATAAAATGTATGTAGAATCAACAATGGCCTCAAAGTTGTCATTCTTCAAAGGTATCACACTCATATTTTATCTACACTTCGTATTTTGGCATTTCTTGGTGTTCATGGTACATATAAATAATAATAAGTATATCACTGTATTATTTTGTGGGGAGGATAGCTAAAAAATCAGCTCAAATTTGCGCGGAAAATAGGTGTGCGGAATCGTAATTGCTGAATAATTGCATTGGTTATATGATTTGGTCAAAAGCCTATTTTTTGGCAAAATCTGTACGGAAATTGGCCCTGATTAACCGAAATGCGCGGACAGATTTCTAGGCCAAATTTTTGCGAGGAAGATATTCTCTGCGGAGGCCTTTACTATACAGTCTGGCATGGTATAATACTGCCATCACTTCCTCGTGTGGCAATCAACTGTTTGTGGCCTCTCAATATGACTAAAGCTACTAATTATCAAACCAGATTAAAATGAGGTGAAAATGATGTGCATAAACAATATTGTATCTGTTTATGTTTTTAAATGTAAATTTTCTACAGTACAGATGGCATTGGCCTCTGTCGATCCTCATTAAATATTAATAAGTATTTATGAATTACCTTTGACCTAGGGATGCCAAATGCATAATAATAAGAGGATAATTTAGTCAAAGGAGAAAGGAATGGGTTTAATTTACCTTTATAATAATATATATTTTGAAGTAAGGACTTGATACCCTTGCTATTGTTTTTCAAGGATATTTGGTTGAAGCCAGTAAGGGCCAATAAAAAAAATTATTACTTTATCACCCTCGTACAACTACATGTATGGTTGGTACTCAAAAAAAAGAATGAAGAAAATTATGAGAAAAAAAAATTTGAAAAAAATTATTTTAGTTTTTCAATTTTGTACAATTATATAGTTAGTGGATATTGTTTGTATTATCTTAATCATATTTTACTTTGAATATCGGTGCACCAGCAAACAACCCAAGGGTGATATTTGGCTTTATCAAAATAGATAATAAAAAAAATGCCTTCCTCATCACTTTTTCAGCCTAGATAGGGTGAATCCCTCATCACTTTTCCAGCCTAGATAGGGTAATAAACTAGAATATAAAAATAAAATATTTTTACAGGGCTTAATCCAGAGGTGAGTTTACCCTGAGCATTACTTATTAAATGACTGTGACCATGTGAAAAGAGAGTTATGTTAGATGGTAACAGACTTGCTCATCTTCTTTAAATATTCCAGACACAAATTCACCTCTATCTAAGTAAAATATTGACCTTTATTATTGACCTCATCATACACTACAGAAAGACTATAATAAAATTGTTTGTACAATACTTTACAGAAATGACTCACTCTACAGTATGCAAGCAACTGTAGCTAGAGTGCAAAGAGCTGACAATACTACTACAGTGTTTGGGTAATTATTTGCATGTATTTTAATAGTAAAACAATAAAACTTGATATCTTATCATCAGGCTGGACTTCTTGGGCAAGGGGGAAAAATAAACTAAATACACTAAAATAATGCTTATCAGATATGGATTTATCTCTGGAACTGTAGCTTTGTAATGAAGATAATTACAAAAAGGGACTGTCAAACTTGTATGATTTAGGTGGTGGTATCAGTGTTAATTCATTTTGAAAAATGTGTCCTAAATTGGCAATTTGTTGAAAACCCTCTAAAAAATGGAACAAAAATGGCCAATACAGTATTGGATTGGCGATGCAATTCTGCCTGTAGGTATACTAGTACTAGTAATTGATTATGTTTGTGTCAAGAAGTGACCTGCCAAATGTAGAAACAGGCTTAATTCCTTTTGTTAGGCCAAATGCAGTTCACCTTCCAATTTTAGACGACCACCCTTGGGACAAGAAAATTTAGGGGGGGTCTCAGGGTTTGCTCTCTAATTAGAGGGTTAGCTTTGTGATAAAAGATGGAAGTTTTTTATTTGGTATATTGATGATGATAATGAAATATAGACATAATAAGAAGCTTCTTTATAGTTAATTACAGTAAACAATGACTAAAACTGTGTAAATTACTATATTTTCCTTGCTAGTTGGGATTTTACAGTTACTGAGTTAAATTCAAATATAAAAATAAGATACAAGCATAATTCTAAAAATAGCCTTGCATTGAATCTGGGAAAAGTCAAATCAGGTGATTACTGTGTTATGGTTTGTTTTGTAGTATGTAGGAAGTAAACATGTATGGCACCATTATTACAGGCAGATGACATTGATCAGGTGTGTATTTAGGTCAAATATTCATTCTATATCTTGCTAAGCCTCATTGTTATTTTTTACCTTATGTAATCATTGTCCTATTTACTGAATTTGAGAGTCTGGTACTGTAACACCAATACAGTGATACCTAGATAATTGCTCATGCACAGAAATTGCTTTATTTTTTTACTTAAAAAATTAACTGATTTCCATGTAAATATATACATTGTAACATGTACAGTATGAGGCCTAAATTATTGAATAAATTCACTGGATCCAAAAGAACATTTGGAACACACAGTATGAGGCCTAGATCATGATTGAAAGAAAGGTAAATAATAATACAGTAGTAGACCTATTGTTTTTATTACTGATCAGTAATTTAAGATCCCTAAATTCTGTGTTCATAAAAAGTTCACTCTAATTAATTACCATTAGTGTATGGTATACAGTATGTATTCTACTCGAGGGTTTCTTTTGTGAGAGTTGCAAGTTGGAAAATGTGCGTCACAAGTTGGAATATGCGAGTTGCAATTTCCAGCTGGCAACTTGCATTTACCAGCTCGCAACTCGCATTTTCCAACTTGCAAATCGCATCTTCCAACTTGCAACTCACATTTTCCAACTCACAACTCACACTGAAGTAACACTCATTCTACTCAAATTACTACTCAAATAGTATGTTTATATGATACGAACGTCTACAATGATAATTATTGAATGCTTGTATTAATTAATATGCATTATCAAACAAGAAATAAACCAAAGTTATCTGCCATTAAATACTGTTCAAATTATATTCGTATTTGGACTTGTAGTATACAATAGTTTTATTTACTTAGCAAGTCACTCGTTGGACAAGAATGAGGTGTAAAAAAAATTTTAAAAATGTACATATCAACATTGCAATTACAGTAATCAACATTTTATTTAAAATAAACAATTAAAGAAACCCAATAATTATTGAATGTGAATTCTTACAAGAATTGTAGTCATTGGTGGTGTTGGTTGTTTTTGTGGTCATGCTATTATGAACTTTGACACTATCTAGTATGATGCAATTTTTGTAATAATTAATGCTTTTTTTTTGTTCAAATTTGTATTTTTTTGTAATCTGATGTAATTATTCTTAATTTGTTGCAATTAATTTACTGTGTAGTATTTTGATAGATTTTTCATACCAATTAATGAAAAAAAAATTAAAAAAGAAAAATTACCAGGTCAGTCTTACTATCATCGAGGTCTGGTTACAACATTAATGCACTGTTCCTAAATATTATAACTACTATTAGGTCTTAGTACAGTATGTTTGTCTGCTCCAATGAACTTAGCAATCTACCTTATGAGACTTACTGTAGGCCTAATTAAATTCAATAGTTGACATGCTTTGTTTTATATTAAAAAAATAATCCCGGCAACAAAGTGTCGATCCAACTGTACCCAGCCGCATTGTTTGCCGTAATTTCACATGTTTGACGGTTACCACGTCTACCACGATGAATGTGTATGTCACTGATTCATGTGCACTCATTTATTTCTTTTTTGTCCATTTACACATTATATATCAATTATAACTAAAAGTGAAAAACTTAAAATACAAAATGAAAACAAAGTAAAGAAATAAAACATAAATCAGGTTTCGTAAATTTTTAATAATCTTCCTGCCCCAGACCATGCTCTCATAATAAAACACTTGAATGGTCATAACATAACATAACATAACTTTATTGAACATACACTTTTAAATCAGTGGCACACGTTCTTAAGAGACGGTGCGTTCACACATTTATAATACAAAATGAAAAATATACAAAAATAAAGGAAATCAAAACAGCATATAAAACTTGATTTAAAAAAAAAGAAAGACGATTCACGATATCAACTTTAACCTTTGAATGTGTACCGAGCAACTGTGTCATGCCGGCCCACGACGTTTGCTATGACTCAACTGGGCCTAGGCTGTTAAGTTAGCGATGAATAGCAGGGCAGTGCAGTATTTTGTTACAATTAACGTAACCACGGAAACATAATTGTATTCTTCTTGTCTTTATCAATTTAGCTTGTCTATTGTGTTTAGGTAAACTAATTATTTTGTTACAATCTGTAAACTGTTGAAATAATAGTGGTGGTCGGGAACCTGTAAATTCTGGTCGGAAATGTTGAGTGCTGGACGGGCCCGACCAGCGTGGTGACATCCCTGTACTCGGCTGAAATGTGATTAAGTCATTTTTTGTGACTTAAGATCGGTGGCACACATAACAAAAATAGTGGTGCATCCAAAACAACAGTTTTTACAGACAATGAAGTTAAACTTATAAATAGGCAAATAATGAAACATAATTTAGAAATATGTTTAACTTAACGCTAAACAAAACGGAGAAAGTGAACTAACAAATTGATAAAGATTCAAACAGGCCAATAAAAATCAAAAGCCTGTGTATCAAACAAAAGCAACAAAAAAATGAGACTATTCAGTGTATTTTTAAGAGAGGCCAAGGAATATGATGTGCATCCTAATTTAAGGATTGTTGATAGTGAATTCAGACTTCTGTTAAAAAAATTTGTTCTTGATTCATGTTTAATCATTAATGAATAATTCTAGCTTAGAACTTTTTAATCACTCGGTGTTCATATTGTTGTTCAGTTGGATTGTATTCCTACTTCCTTCTTTAGTACTTGAATTTATAAATATTTAATACTTCCTTAAAGGGACATAACTACTGAAAGTTGTATGGATGAGAGGGTGTGGTGTAGACCTATCCTTATAAACATTGTGGATGGTGATCAAAAGCTGGAGAGATGGCCAGGAGAAAATTAATTTACCCTGGGGCTTCACCTTTTTAAGGCTTTACATTTAAGACCTCACCATACAAATTTTAGAGGGTGAAAATTGACTTACAATAAGGTACAAAGATCAACAGATTAAGTTGAATGTCCACATTTATATGACTTGCTCCAGGGCCTAAAATGTTAGCATTGGCCCTGTAAGTGGTTATTTTTACAGAGTACATACCAATTCTAGTATTAGTATTAAATAGACATTTCTCAATTATGAAAAACCCAAAATATGTGGACTCTTTTTCAAACAAGGTTTGTAGCAAAGACATCTGGGAGTGGGATTCTGGAATATGGTACAGAATTCTGCAGTTTGCTTATTGTCAAAATGATATTTTTGATTCCAAAAAAGTGTACATCATGTTCAGAACACTGTTGCTACTGTCATTATATTTGTTAAAAATATGGATTGTTAAAAATATGGATATAATTAAAACAATAGTGAAGAGATGGGTGTAGGTTGTTTAGTAGACCTAAATCACTCTGATGCATTGTCTACTTTTAACTGTCTCGTGCTACTTGTACAGTAGTGTTGATGTTATAATGAGCTACTGTAGTAATAATGGCAGTGGAGAGCAATGAGAAAAGTTCCATTCATGTAGGCAAATTTACAATGAAATTATGTGTTGATTTGTATTTCATTGTAATAAATATTATAACGACATAAATAATGAAGATATCAATGATTTAATATTAAATTAATAATGATTGTATGAGGTCAAATGATGGACAGTAGCATAATACTTGAATGAACACAGACTGGTTTTTCCCAATACAGCCTTGTACAATGTATGCATCCAACTTTAGGAAGTCTTTGAGTTCATGAGACTAGGGCAGGAAATCCATAATAGAAATTTTTTTTATATACTCTACAACTTGAAGCTTTAAAGGTCTTAAAAAATTCAAAGACAATAATTTTGTTTGCTTACTACTGTTTCCTCATAAGTTACTAGTTTTTCATATCTGATCCATGCCTTTATAAGTGTATTTGAAATTTTCATGCAATAATAATTATCTTTTTCAAGTAAATGTTTTCTAAATGTCTCATTTGTTTTTGATACAATCAAGACCTTGCTGTTATTAGGTATTGTTCATGTCAGCGTTTCCCGTATGGCCAACAGTAAAAATATGATTTAGCTGATAAATCCTTATAATCTTGTGACTATTATTGTTTCCGTTAAAAGGTACCTTTTAAAATGGATTAGAATAACCATTGACCTGATAATTCTCCTAGACAGCCTTCAAAATATGAAAGTAAGACTAATAGTACCTGTACTCACTATGGTTTATTTTTTTAGTCATAATTGCCATAAACTTGGAGGAGTTGATTACAAATTGCTATAATACATTCCTTTGCATTATGCTAAAATTACAGCTTTATGTAGTAGGGTATATTTAATTCAGATTGGAGTTGTACAGCTTAGTGGTTAAGAATCTTCATTCTAATCACATGGTCCTAGGTTCAATTCCTGTGATAGGAATTTTTTTCTCACAATTAAAATATCTCCACTACCTAAACCTCAATTTGTGAGATATTTCTGCTGTTGGACACTAATAAAAAAAAGGATATAGAAATAGAAGAAGATATTTACATTGGAGGAAAAAATACTAGAAAATAAGGGAAGTGTAAAAATGTAATAAAGATTATTTTTTAAATGGTGAGAATTTAAAAGCTCTGTACAGTACAGGCGGAACGTAAATTAAACAGTGTGTTTTTTTCAATTTTTGTAGTTCACATTACAGACATAAACATTCAAGGTTAATCTGTATCATGTTTTTTCCTTTTTTTTGGCAGACCTGTACCTTCAATGTAATGTTCTAGTCATCTACACATCATGTCACAAGAGCATCAAGAAGAACAATTAGACTCTCTTACCCAGGAGTTATCAAAAGATAGTACCCACCAGTGTCTGGCTAGTCTCCTTGATCCAAGAGGCAGTTTTGCATTCCTATTGCAAAACTGTCTTCTTAATTATAAAGATGGTGAGTGAACAATTTGTCATTTAATGTTTCAAAAATAATTTCTTCTGTGACATACTGTAGGTGTTGAACTTTTACCACTTTTATGCCTGTGTCTCTTTTTTTTGGACAGCCAGGCACTTTGAGATGAGTCATCTGAGGTAGAGTGTTAATGTATATCAATGGAATGTTAGTTTCATTATTTTGTATTACTGTTTATTGTTACGAATATTAAATTCTTTTATCAGATTCCAGAACATAGACAATTAAGAGCTTCCCAGTTCACGGTATTCATTACAGTCTGCTATACTGAAGCTTCTACAACGGCACATTTTTATGTTTCTGTCAGACTCAAATGTTTGATCATACTTGTTTTTAACATCTGATGCTTAATATTTTTAGAATAGCATCTAATATTTCAAATACATCTGATCAAACACGTTTTGCTTCCATGTAGGTACTGTAGGGCATTGACTTTACTTATTTCTTAGTGTCTTGCTGATTTTATCTGTACTGCAGGACTTCCATGCTTCAGAAAACAGTCCTAGGCCTTGTTTTACTAAGGCATAAGCGCATAAGTAACTGCATAATCATGCACGGATACTGAATATGTAAGTGTTATGACCTCAAGAATTGATTGGGGTTATGTACAAGCGTTTAACATCATTCTGACTTCGATGACGCAGGTAATACGTGTAGAATTTCTTAAGAGGACTTTTCCTAAAACACCATCCTTGGAATTTATACACACATGTTTTTCAAGAAAACATGTAGGAGTGGGTAGTTCTTGAAAGTGATATTCACCATTAAATTCACTTTCTGTGACATTTTATTTGGTAAAATGATATGTCTCCATAAGTGCAGTAGAGTATATTGCACTCTTCCATGAATGTAGAGGTCTTGGGTTCAAATTCCCAATAAATAAATCTTTCCTTTTCTTTTATTCTTCTATTCATTAACATTTTTGTAATCTTATTAGTCCAGAGAATGCAACACAGGGGGAAAATTCTTACCCATGGGATCTAACACAAAGGAAAAGTCTGACACTTAGGGTCTAGCTTAGACCTCCTGGGTCTGACCCAAAGGGACAAGTCAAGGTTCCAACACAAAAAAGTCCAACTCATCTATAAAATCTGATCCTAATGCTAATTTTAAAATGTAAATTCATTTTATTGGTAAAAAATATACTGTTTTTATGTTATTAATATTTTATGTTTGGGTGTATTTTCAATAATAAAAATATTAATAATAATTTGTTAAACTGATGATTAATGCATATTATTTAAACAGCATTTAGTAATAAACATTGATATGAGTGATATTGGAAGATGAGTGGATTATACAATACATATTATCCCTACAAGTAATAAATGACACAGGAAGGAAGGTGGAAAACCTTTGGTAGGTAAACTTGTTTTATAAGAAAACCATAAAATGTTCACAATTACCGTATCAAATGCATTCATGAATAATTTATTTGATTGGATTTTTCTTGTTGAAATGAAAGCATTTTGCATTTGCAATATGTTATTGTTCATTATCTAGACCATTGACATTAGTTGTACTTTGTAATGTTAGATGATTGATGTCAATATGCAGTAAACGTGAAATGAAATGATTAGTTTGGTAAGTCCAACAATGTGCGGTACATTGCCGTTTATAGGATGCTTAATGGGACGTCCATCCATCCTTCCATGTATATGTACTGTAATTTGTAGTGTGCTTATGACGGTCCTCTTTCTGAAAAACATATTGGCAGAGGACCTCATTGTGGTATATGCGTCAGTGTGCGTCATTGATACAATCAAGTTATGTGTTATTTATTCGTCTGATTTTATTTATTTTATATATTTTGTACTAGCAAATTGTACTGTTTTTATGTTATAGGATATAAAATTTATAGTATAATAAAATACATAAGGATGAGAAAACACTGACCACGTCAGTCAGTGTTTTTTGTACCAGCTAAGTTTTAGGATAGCTGGTGTACAGTACTTCCTTTGACATGTGGGCAATTCCATGGTAACAGAATTACAAATCACAACATTTTTTTACTTATTTTCACAATCCCAGAAAATTAGGGCGTGCATTGGATAATAACTATTATAGATGTAAGTAATACATACACCCTGCCAATATCAAACAGTGGTAAAAAAAACTAACAATATTTTGAAATTTCGAATCCAGATCTAGATCCAGGTATTAAATTTTAATGCTAAATATAAACTCTTAATATTCTATAGTAGAAGGAGTGACTGCCTTTACACAGAAATAGAAGTTACTCATTACATATAAAAGTGTTAGCTCTTTTTTGACTAACTTAAACTGTCTCTTAGGTAGAGAATGCTCGGACTGACTTTAACTTGTTCCTTCAATGCTAGAGTTGTCTATCTGACATCACTGTAGAGTTCAACTTAACTAGTTTCTTACATAAGATTCAGCCAGCATTTTATGCTAGCTTCATCAGCTGAAGACTATTTTAAATATGTTTACCTACTGTAAACGGCTGCACCTATTATTATAGTTGTTAAGGAAAGTAGACAGTGGAATAGATATAATAGGGAAATTAATGAAAGATGCATATATCATAGAACCTGTGTGTCTAAATCTGCCAGCACAAATGCGAGAAAAAGCATTGCTTCCAAATCCGTTAGTTCCTATTTTTTTGTTTTCGGAAGTAAATGACTGCTAAAATGTTAACAGTTTGTGTATATGTATGCATTATTATCTCCTGTAGTTTAACTATGGCTTGTTTTAACTATGGCTTGTTTTCTGAGTGTGTTTGTGTATGAACATGGCCACATTATTATTTTTTTAAACAGAAGAATATATAATATTGCATTGAGTCTGATGTTTGACAAATTCTTTTTTCCAAACTGTAATTTAACAAAAAACTTGCAAAATATAAACATAATTATACTTTTTTATGCATGGATTGAAAAGGACCAATTTGTACTGTTGTACTTCAATGTCATGGTGTTTATTCGACCATTCAAGCCTTTTGTCGCCATATCTGCATGATGCCCCCAACTTACATGTCAAATGAACAATAGTTCTATTGATATTAATATTTGTGTGTGGGTCCAATTGCATTGTGAATGAAAGTACAGTATTTCTACAACTCCCTATCCGAACCTCATAACAGATTCTGGCTTTAGAGACCACTTGATGTTGAATGAGGACAAGTATTGTATTAAAGTAGGAATCAGAGTATATTTATTTATCCAAAACAGAAATTGCTTCGCTCATATACACAGTGTAAACATTTAAATTCAGGTAAATTAAAATATATAAAATAAAATAAGACATAGTTTACTATTCAACCAGTAAAAAAACTTTACTGTACAGTAAGGTTATATAAATAGTAAAATTTAACAGCTACAAAAGCTTCCTCACCAACAAGAAGTTATGTAGACAGTTGAAATTATGCCGGTAGAACAGTTTGTTTACAGAGCATTTTCATGGGTGCACCCCAACCCAGGCATGTTCTGCGACAGTCTTAGTAGTGCTAATCCATTATAAGTAGGGGTACAAAACAGTAGGCCTACTGTAGTTTTCTAATTAATTAGAATCATTTGCCAATTCAAGTCCTGGCTGCTCTTTAATCATAATCAGGAAGTTTGAATCTTAGTTGAGAGTGCTAGATAAAAAATATTTATTAAAACATTAATATTATTATAAATTGCCAATATTTTAGAACAATTATTCAAATTTTGGTGTGGGTCACAGTCTTTCTTATTATAATATCGTTTTATGATAATAAAATGTTTGAGTCAGAATCATAGATTATAATGTAATATAATAGAAAATTTGCAAATCTTCTGAAATGCTTATTTAATACATGCATGAACCATTCACGAACCATTCACTCCCAGGAGATACAGATTTATGAAACATAAATTGCTTTCAATCAGCACTCCTGTCTGAATAATTTGTCATCAACATCAGTTGCAATACTGTATTATAATGTGCAAAATCGTATATTGAATGTTATAATTAATAGTTTTTGCAATATATTTTACAAACAGCTGAATCAGGATTTACTTCATTCACTTAACTTTTGTTTAATTACCATTTGACGTTAACTCTTTCACTTACAAGTTTCATAAACAAATTTTCAATTTTTTTAGTGACAAATATTATTTTATATCATTTTTTTCTATAAGAGTATAAAATAATGTTTGATAGTAAATGAAAGATAATAATTTTTTCCCTAAATAAGCTACTATTTAGTCTTAATTAGTTTAATTAATTTTTATAATTAATATTGATGAATAATTTTGAAAAAAAAAAAAAAATACCTAGTCAACAGCTAGAATAAAAAAATTCATCTCCACATTAGCACATATTATTCCTTTACAAAATAAAACTACATTTGTATTTATTTGATCATTAAACTTTTGAAGAAAAAAAAATAAAATTTCACACCCCAAGGGTGGGGGGGCCTAGCCAAGTCCCCTAGGCCTACGAGCTGCTTCAGTCATCTTCTCTGCACTGCGGAGCCTAGTGTGATAAGCCTAACTTACCTCGCAACGTAAAATTCATAAATCATTATATCCACCTAGCGCCCGTTCAAGGTGTGCGAAAACCGCACATAGTATTTTTAAATAATCCAGTTGGTGTCAAAAAGAAATATGAAAAGTTAAGATAATACAGTATTATAACCCATCATTTTGTTCACTGTCACCGATCTTAACGTGAGGATTGCGCAGGTCACCGGAAAACTGGAGGTTCAGGAGTTCAATGATCATGTCAGAGTTCATTTTAATTTTTTGTAAACAACTACTTAGATGGGGCAGGCAGAATTGAAAGCCACATAGTTTTTTTCAGCCACAAAAAAATTAATTTTACATGGAAATATGTGGATGTAATAACCAAAACTGGTACAGTATGTATATTAAATATATATATATTTATTGTCGGAAAGTGTTGGAATATTTACTTTTTGAAAATAAAGTGTATTTTTAGACGATTTTATTCACCAGTGATGTTTTTTATTTGTAATATCAAAATTACATATTAAG